CACACACACACACACACACACACACACACACACACACACACACAGAAAACTCTCTCTTGGCTTCCCTGTTCCCTGTGTGCCCACCCCCTGGCACACAGCCAGCTCCTCAACATGAGACATTTCAACCTAAGCCAACTAGACCCAATAGGGAAAAGGTGTGAATATCATGTATCACAAGGAATCAAAAAAGGGAAGTTTTAAGCGATGGATCTTCTCTCTAAATGGGCAGGAACACCTAAACATCCCTGTTCAGCCAGCCCCGTCAGAAGCTTTGAACACTAAATATTAATTAAAATCTCTGATCAACAACAGCCGCTGACATGTCTATAGACCTCTCCTTTCCAGCTGCCCAACGCACTCAACAAACCAATAACTAATTATAATGATTATAAACAAATGACATACATTAAAGGTGGGGAAGGGAGCAGTGTGGGGAGGAGGGGGTCACCTAAGGTATGAAGCTGCTTCTGGGTGAGGCATTTTAACAGGCACACAGGAATAAGACACAGTTGCTTTGAGACAGGAAGTGAAACCTCATCTAATAAAACCAGTGGGGGGATTCCAGGAGGCAGACAGAATGAGAAAGCATATTTGGGATGTGGCCAGGACATCGAGGTTAACCAAGTGGTACAGCCCAATGGAGCCTTGCATCTGGAATAACCAAATGTGTTCAGAACCTATGATGGCATACCAAAGGCCCTGGGTATGGACCAGTACCAGGTTAATGTGCCTCTTGATGCTTTCTAGGGCCCTAAAAAATAACAGTCACCTTATATAAGTGCCCCAGACCTCAGACTTATGGATGGCTCTCAGGACTGCTGAATGGGAAGGTGATGGGCTTGGGCTAAGCAAGGATAGGGTTATCTCAGAGCTGCAAACAAGAGTAACTGAAGAAGCAGCTCTCAGGGCAGCATCTCTGGCACGTCTCCCTGGCCCATTATTTCCTGGAGCTTTGGGGAGTGCAGGACCAGAGGGGGAGGGAAGGGAATGGACAGTTACAGAGTTAGCTAAGTACCAACTACTACAAAGAAATGGCTCATTTCCAGATTCCTAGCCAGGCCCAGATCTAGGGGGAAGGGGCCAGGACAAGGAGGGAGCCACTAGGAAACCGTGCTGAGCTAATCCCAAAGGAACCTAGCATTTCCCATTTGTGGCCAGCCACTCTGGGAAGAAGCCAAGAGGTTAATTAGGCAGCTGGTCAGTTTTCCTTTGCATCAGACTCTTAAGGCACCAGAAAGGAACTGACTCATCCAGCTAATTTCCCTTTACCAAGAGCACCAGTGGGAAGGGGAGGGGAGGGAAAAGGAGGGGAGGGGAGGGAAAAGGAGAGAAGGGGAGGACCCGAGCGTCCCATGGGCCCTTCCCCTCTACCAGCTCCTAAGCCCAAGAGCCAGCTGAAGGAAATGGGAAAAAAAGGACATGGAATCAAGGAACAACAGGAAAAGACAACGATGTATAAAGAGGAAAAACTGCAAACCCTAAAACAAAAGGGAAAAACCTGAAAAGCACAGGAATGGGAGGAGGAGTGACAAGACCAGGGGGAGGGATATTCCTCTCATCTCAATACAGTTCCCTAATGCAAGAGGAAAGGGGGTAAAGGGAAGGGTGACTGGGCCCAGCTACTTACACCAGATCCCGGACCATGTCTCGAGTGATAAGCTGGATGGTCTCTGGCTTGTGGGTCCAGCCCAACCTCTTCTGGATACTTTGCTTGTCCCTTAGAAGCACAATGGGGCTCTCAGAGCGGACCTGCTGGGAGGACTGCAAGGCCAGAAGGGGCAGCTCACTAGGGGGTCACACGAACTTCCCACCCTTTTTTCACCAATTTGAGTCCTAGAGAATCCCCTCACCTCGGTTCTCCACCCACCCAACAACCAAACACTAAAAGATAAATTGAGGCCCAGACTCTAAGACTGCAATGACTGTTGGACACAGAGGAAATGTTCTCTATTTGGAAATGACCAAAAGTTGTTTTTTTTTAATCTGTCCTCTCCTCCTCCTTCATCCCCCCCCCCCCCACCCTTCCATGATAGTCCTATTCAGTAGCTGCTGAAGAAGAATGTCCTACTTCATAACACACTTTGAGGAGGGCATCCCTTTCCTCTCCAAAGGCCAGAGGGAGATACTAATGTCTGTAATACTCCATAGTTTGGGGGGAGAAACATAAAACTTAGGAATTGTAGATGACTTTAGTGATCATCTAACCCAACTCTCACTTTATAGATGAGAAAACCAAATTCCAGAAATGTTAAGTGACTTTCTCAAGGTCATACAACAAGATAAGTAGTAGAGCTAGGATTTGAACCAAGGATCCTTTGATAGCCTATCATAATTTTTTTCTTCTACATCACACTTCTGAGTTCTAGTGCTCTGGGTTTGGTGAAGAAGCTAATGAATTCTCTCGAATCACTGAGTTAGCTTGATTTCTTTTTTTTTCGCCTCAATGATCCAAGATTCCCCAATTTACACTGTGTGGTGTTAAATCAACCAATTTAAATCGGGAGAATTTCTTAGTAACTTCTCTGAACACTTATCAAATCAAAAACACAGAGTTGGAAAGGACTTTAGGGATTAGCCTCATTTTCCAGATGAAGAAACTCAGACTGGCATTGGACTTAGAACCGTAGAGCAGGAAGGATGCAGATTAGACAGAATTTTCCTAACAGTATAGACTGAGGGAAGATGTGGGAGCTTTGTCCCTGGAGGTCCTAAGATACAGAAGAGGTGTTCACTTGCATGAAATGCTATAGGCGTGGCTCTGCCAGCAGAAGAGACAGGGTTGGACCAGACAGTTTCTCAAGGGCCCTCACAGCCGCAGGAATCTGAATCTCCAAATGCTGCTCCTCTAAGATGCTGCTGCCACCTGGTGCCCGGCCTGGGCTACTGTGTGGGTATCAGGCAGACTGCAGGAAACTCCCACCACCTACTGCCAAATCAGTGCCGTCTGTGGATTCCAATATGTTTTTCCACCCCCAGGTATTCAGCCCAAGGAAACAGATCAGAAGGCAAGTCTTTCTTCTGATTGTTCCATTATCCATGTCCAGACTTCACCAAGTCCCACTGAGCACAAACTATGTTCATCAAGTGAAACCACACCCCCTTTTTCCCATCAATAGGCACATTGATAAACGCTAGGAGGGAATTTGATGAGCTTCTAAAAGGAAGCATGCTAATGCCAGGAAAAAATCTGGAAAGACTTTTACAATTACATTCTGGGTGGTTCAGGTCAGGCACACTTGTGTTAACTGGGACAACCGTTAATGGCCGCCTTCTACTCCCCACCAGAGGTAACTTCTTCATCTTTTTTCCTTCCCTTATTTTCCCTTTTTCTTCTACTTTCCCAATCCCCTCTCTTTTATTTTCTGTTGTCCCCCCTACTTATGCCTGAGACCTCACAGAGGTGCTCATGGGTATTGCTAAATTCTGCTAGTGGCACTCAGGACTCAAGAAATTGGTGACCCCTGGTTTAGATCATATTTACAAATAGTCACTGGCCCAGGTTCCCAAGGAAATGAATTCTATCTGATGGACCAGTAGGAAAGGAAGTTAATTTCATAAAATCAAGGTACATTACAGCAGGAAGAGAGTATTCATTCCTTGGGTTTTACTCCTTTGGATGGAGAAAACCTATAGAGCCACAAAGTGCTATTCTGTACTTGCACAGTTGGTTTCTATTGGTCATTCTCAAATGTCTTCATCCCAGGACCCGCCCAGCACCCCGCCTCTCTCCTTAAAAATGAGTTGCTCTGGAATGCACTCACTGGCACCACACAGCTCCTCCAGCCTTCCTGTTGGCATCACAGCTAGTCTTAAAGGCTAGAAAGCAGGGAGGGCTTGGGGTGGAGGAAAATAAGTCACCTTGTTCACATGCTCACAGTTTATTGCTGGCACTACCAGAGCTCTGTCACTCTGGTCTCAGTGACTACCACAAAGTGTCTCATGCATTAGCAGATGGCATCACGAGCATTAGTTGGCAGCAGTCTAGGCCACTGCCTCAGGGGTAATCCACGTATGTACTTCAAAAAGGAGAACACAAAAGGGGTTTTGGAAGATCACCAGCATGGACGGGAACAGGAGGTTACCTTGCCACCACCAAAGAGGCTCTCATCAACCTCAGAGTTCATGGCCTTGGTCCGGTAGCGTGTCCGGTTCCTTGACCTGTTGGAAGTGCTGGAGGAGGAGCTCAAGATGCCAGCTGCACTTAGTGGCTGGAGGGATGCGGGGGAAGGGAGGAAGGAGGAAAGGAGGAAGATAAGTTTAAGGTCACAAATATAATGCCATGAGCTTTGATCAAGGCCAGCAAACATTCTACTAACAAAGGGGCTCTTAACACTTTTTGGTATCATGGACCCCTTTTGACAAGACATGAAGGAAAATTCTGGGGCTTGGTTTCCTCATCTATTACACTCCAGACAAAGAACCTGAATAAATCCTATGAGATGCAGTCTGCAAAGTTGAGGTGCTCCACCAGGCTGGGAGTGCTCCCACAAGAGGAGGGGACTCAATGAAGACCTCTGTGGCTATGAAGAAACCCAACACAAATTCTATAAGAGGAGACTGGGGAGTCTCTTTCATAATCAAGGGAAACCCATAGTTACATAGCAGGCAGGAATGATGGAAGAAAGGAGAAAGAATCAGTTTCAGCTCATCTACCATACAGAAGACGACTTGTCTTCCTGAAGAGGCTTGGACAGAGTCCTAACCAAGGAGTCCAACAGACCTGGATTCGAATCAAATCTCTGACACTAGCTATGTGACCACTGATCTACAAGTCACTTTTTCTCTGTAAGTTTCGGTTAGTCTCTTTCTAAAATGGGAATATTAATACTTGTTATACTTACTTTATATAAATCTTACAAGCTTATTATAAGACTCTGAAGAGATCATATAAGTAACATGTAAATGTCAGTTATTATTATTACTGTCTTCTAGGCAATTCAAGTCATCTCATTTTCCTGCTCCCAAAATTATGGTGCTTCCCTCCTGCCTGTCATATGAAATGCCAATTCCTCACACTAAGCTTCGAGACCCCTTCACCAACCGTAAGCCCCCATCTTACCATCCTTATTTCTTAAGCAAATCTGTTAAGAAGCCCAACTACATTCACTCCCACTTCCAAACCCAGACAGGCCATTCTTTCAACATAGGATATATGAGTATAAGTCTTTCTTCTCACTCCAAACTCCGCTCTCCAGGAAGCTTTCTGTAATTAGGGATACCAAAGTAAAAACCAAATAAACCTTGGCATCAAGCCATAGACCGGAGAAAAGCAAACAGCTTCCATGATAGAATATCAGTAGGTTGGCAAACCTATCCATGATTAATCCCACCCATTTCTGATGACTCCATTATTCAACAATATTTATGTAGTCGGTCATTCAACAAGCATTTATTAAGCAAATACTGCCAGGCACTATGCTAAGCACTAGGAATACAAGAAAAGGCAATTAAAAAAAAAAAACCCACAGTCTCTTCTAAAGAAACTCATAGCCTAATGGTGGGAACAATGTGTAAATAACTAGAAATACACAAGATATATTCAGTGCAGACAGAAGGTAATTTCAGAGGGGTGGTAGTGGCACTGGCAGAAGACTGCAAAGGCCCACTGTAGAAGAGGGGATCTGAGCTAAGTTTTGAAGTAAACCAGGGAAGCTGGGAGAGGCGAAGAGGGGGAGCACTCCAGGCATGGGGACAGATAGTGCCCAAAAAAATGTATAGAGTCAGGAAATGGAGTGTCATATTCAAAGGCCAACTTCACAGAATTAGAGAGAGCAGTGTATACATGCAGAGGAGTAATATGCAAAATGTCTGAAAAGGTAGGAAAGGGTCTTAAATGCCAAACAGAGCACTGGGAGGAAATTGGGAGCTACTGAAGTTTACTGAGTCGTTCTGGGGTGACATAGTCAAACTCATGCTTTAGAAGCAGGTTGGTGGCACAGTAATGGACCTGGAGTCAGAAAGACTTGAGCTTAAATCTGACTGCAGACACTTAACTTCTGCCTGCCTCAGTTTCCTCATCCATAAAATGGGAATAATAATAGCAGCTACCTCTCTATTGGGAGGATAAAATGAAATATTTGCAAAGCACTTTGTAAATCTTAAAGCTCTCCATAAATGCTAGCTCAGCTTTCTCAAGAAATTTAGCCACTGGGGCAGCTGGGTGGCGTAGTAGATAAAGCACCAGCCCTGGATTCGGGAGGACCTGAGTTCAAATCTGGCCTCAGACACATAACACTCACTAGCTGTGTGACCCAGGTCAAGTCACTTAACCCCATTGCCTAGCCAAAAAAAAAAAGAAAGAAAGAAAGAAAGAAAGAAAGAAAGAAAGAAAGAAAGAAA